AGCTGCAGGAGGACGGCGACGGGATGCTGCTTGTCTTCGCGGCCGGAGAGATGCTCGGTCGGGCAACGTACACCGGGCGTGTCCTCTGCACCAACCTGCGCCCATGCTCGGCCACGAAGACGACGCCCACCACGGAGGTCGTGGCCCGGCGGGCTATTGTCTCGGCGATGAAGGCAACGCTGGACAGGTTGCACGCGAGGCTTGTGCATGCCGGCATGGACACGATCTGGAGCTCGGCAAAGCACGAGGTCGCCACCGGGCTGGACCTTAAGTCGGCGTCTGGCGCCGAATCACCGTGCGTTTCGTGCGTCAGCGGGAAGCTGGCGCGACACACCTTTCCCGACCAGGGTTCCGACGCCAAGGACGTGCTGGCCGTTGTGCACATCGACCTATGCAAGCCTTTCAGCGTGGCTGCCAAGGACGGTAGCCTGTACTTCTCGCTGCTGAAGGACCCCAAGACCCGCTACGTGTGGGTGAAGTCGGTCGTCAAGAAGTCGGATGCGTTGCAGGTGTTCATGCAGTGGTTGGCGGTGGCTGAGCGGCAGACGAAGAGGTCGGTGTTGACGCTACGCTGTGACCGGGGAGGGGAGTTCCCCGGTTGCAGCGTCGACCTCTCAAGGTAGTTGCGGACCCAGACGGCCTGCCGAGAGCGAGGTGCCACCAGTGGTGCTGCACGCCCATATGTAGCAGCATCGTCCGCTCCGACTCCACTACCGTCCTCATCTCCCTCTCCACCATGCCGTTTTGCTGCGGGGTGTACGGGCAGGTTAGGTCGTGGACAATCCCTTTGCCGTTCACGAAGTCGGTGAACTCCTTCTCGAGGAACTCCCCTCCCGGGTCACAGCGCAACATCAACACCGACCTCTTCGCCTGCCGCTCAGCCACCGCCAACCACTAAGAGGTCGACGCTGCCACCGGGGACGACGCCGCACCAGCTTCTCACCGGGAAGAAACCCGACTTGTCACTGGCGCGGGTGTGGGGCTGTATGGCGCAGTTCTTGGTCCCCGAGCAGCAGCGTGGTGGGAAGCTGCAGCGAAAGGCCAGGTGGGGCCTTCACCTCGGCGTGTCTAAGGAAAGGAAGGGCGGGGAACCCCTTGACATCGCTGATAACAGGGTGGTCACCACATCGGATGTGGTCTTCTTCGAGGATATGTCGCTGGAGGTGTAGAAGTCGGAGCTCGGGCCGGCGTCGGGACGGACGCCGACCACCCCGCCGACAGACACCTCGATGGCAACGCTCCCTTTGCTCGCCGAGGTCGGTGAGCCCGCTACCAAGGACGTCGAGGACGTCTCCTCTAACTCCCCCTTCCCTACCCCTCCTGCTCCTCCCAGAGTGGCTGACCTGCGTGGGCTGCCTCTGGTGTCGGCCTCCGGCGATGAGGGGAGTAGTAGGACGTTGCCTTCGGTGCTATGTTGCCTTCGGCGCTGACCAAGGGCATCACCGACGTGGGAGTGCAGTCGACATTGATAGGGGAGGAGGTGCGGCCGACTTTGGTACAGCCGGCGAAGAAAGCACCAGCAGGGCAGCACCCGACAAGGGAGCAGGCAATGGTGAAGCGGGCCACGGAGCAGTTGGCGACCAGGCAGTCGGCAGGGGAGCCGACCGTATGGGAGAAGTCGATCGGGACGCCGACTGAGGTGCAGCAGGATGCTAAAGGCAGTGAAGACGGTGACGAAGGAGGGGCCGCCGAGGAGTCCACCAACAGCGACGTGGTGGAGGTTCCACCTGGGCCTCGGATGTCAGGCCGAATTCGGAGGCCACCCGAATTCTTCGTCCCCACTGCCTTCACCACGATGTACAAGGTGGACGATGACGACCTGGCGTACGACAGCACCAAGGAGGATGAAGAGGTTCCAGAGCTCGACCCTGACATGCATGTCGACCCCGAGCACTGTTGGGACATCTCGACGATGACGGTGAAAGAGGCGTTGGCAAACTGAAAGGGCCCGGCAGTGAAGGCCGCTATGGAGGAGGAGATCCGGAGCCTCATCAACATGGGCACATGGGAGCTGGTCGAACGTCCGCCAGGGGTGAAAATCATGAAGAAACGGTGGATGCTGACGACCAAGTACCGCATCGACGACACCGTCGAGCGCGACAAGGCGAGGCTGGTCATGAAGGGCTTCACTCTGGTGTATGGCGCCGATTACGACAAGACGTTTGTGCCGGTGGGCAGCTACGTCACGCTGAGGATCTTCCTCAGCATCGTCACCGTCCTCGACCTCAACCTGATGCAGCTCGACATGAAGAACGCCTTCCTGCAGAGCAAGCTCGACAAGGTGTTGTACATGTCCCAGCCGGACTACTTCAATGACGGAACTGGCCGGGTGTGCAAGCTGCTGAAGAGCCTGTACGGGCTGAACGGCGTGGTACTTGGCGCTGTTGCTGTGGTACTTGGCGCTCAACGGCGTGCTGGTCGGCGCCGGGTGGAAGAAGAGCCAAGTCGACGAGGTTCTGTACTTCAAGGTCGGCAACAACAAAGTGGCCTGCTGGGTGTTGGTCTACGTCAACAACCTGCTCGCCGCCAGCAGCAGCACCAAGATGCTGAAGGAGTTGAAGGAGCTGCTCGAGTCCGCCTTTGACCTGCGTGAGATCTCGCCGGTGTAGAAGTACCTCGGGCTGGAGATCATCCGCGACAGGTCGGCGGGGAAGCTATGGCTGCACTAGCAGGGCTACGCCGACAAGCTACGTAGGCGCTTCATTGACTAGGAGGGCGCGGGGCGTACCCCAAAGACGCCGGTCTCGGTCGGTGCCTATGCGCAGCTGACATTCGACGACGAGGACGCGCAGGCACGCTAGGAGGAGGAGTACCGGCAGAAGTTCCGCTTGCTGCAGTTGGTGGCGACGACGACGAGGCCGGGCATCGCCTTCGCCTGCAGCAAGCTGGGGAGCGGCCTCACGGTGAGGAGCGACCAGCACTGGCACGAGGTTGACCGCTACCTCGCCAACACGTGTGACACCGCCTGAAGTTCGGCGGTGGACCTGAGTCGATGGAGTTGGTCGGCTACATGGACGCCGACGACGCCGGCGACAAGCAGAAGAGGACGAGCACGGGAGGCTACGCGTTCGTCTACGGAAGGGCTGCATTCTAGTCAAGCCAGCGCATCAAGTGCGCGACGTTGTCGCCGACCGAGTCCGAGTTTGAGTTCCGTAGCGGCCACGGAAGCCGACAAGGAGAGACGCCGCCTTTGATTCCTCCTCGCAGAGTTTCGACAGCTAGACGCTGGGAAGCCAACTGTCCTGCGGGTGGACAACAAGTCGGCCATCGCGGTCGCTGAGGGCATGGGGTTCGCGGGCAACCTCAAGCACATGGAGCGGCGACAGGCCTGGCTGCAGCACATGGTGAAGCGCGGGAAGTTTTCGCTGAGGTACATCCCGACCACTGAGCAGCCAGCCGATTTCCTGACAAAGGCGCTGCACTACCTGGCCTTCAACCGGGCTCCGTTGCAATCGACCAAGTGCGCCTGGCCTACGTGGGCGACGGCGACGACGACGTGCAGCAGTAGGTGGCATGCTCTCTTGCATGGCTAGTGCGGTGGACGATGTGTTGTGTGTTGGGTGCACGTCGACGAGCTATTCTCCAAGGAGTATTGCCGTGTGGGCTTGGGGTCCAAGCCTGAACGCGGCAGAGGAGTGTCAACGAGAGTTTTTGTTTGGCCCCGTCCTTGCTTGGGCGGAGCCGACTTTGTGGTCGGGTGTGAGGGGAGCAGCCGACCTGCAGTAGTGGGCAAGCTGGTTGACAAGGAGGTCGACATGCACGGGGGCCACTGCACGGGCGCCGACTTCAGGGTGGTCGACATGGAAAGTCGACCTACGGAGGGCGACGACTTGGTGACGCCAACTTGGAGAAGCCGACTAGGGTGGTTGGCTGGTAACTGTGCTGGTCGACCAGAAGTGGTGTCGACCGGGACGTTGTGGTCAACGTGGGAGGGGCTGACGTTGACCACAACAGAGAAGGCTGGGGATGCCGAGCTGGAGGGCGTCGAGGAGTAGGACGCCGAGTAGCTGAGCGTCGAGCAGCAAAGCGCCTGGTGGAGAGCGCCGAGCATTGGGGATGCCGGGCTTGTGCAGTCGGCGACCGACCGAGGTGGTCAACTAGGCGTGGTTGCTTGGTGGACTAGGATACACGGGTGACGTGCGCAAGTGTCGCCGGGGTGGAGTCTGCGAGGCCGACCTCGAGGGTGGTATCCCAAGGTCGACGTGGCTGGAAGGCGCAGTCGCTGGTGTGGAGCCGACCTGGGCGTCTACGCTGTGCACGTGAGAAAGAAGTGCGCACCAACCAGTTGCGCGCACCTACGAAGCAGGTGCACCGTGGTCCTGCGAGTGTGACGCTGTACAGCCGAGTTGCTGCAGCGTTGGCACACCGTGGGCTTGCAACGTTGGCGGACCGCTACTCTGCAACGTTGGAGCAGTGCGAGCGCTGCTACGCTGGAACGCGGTCGACCATGCTGCGCTGGAGGTCGACCAACAGCCTCTGAAGAATTTTTTTCGGTTCAAGAGCAGCTCCTCACCTTCCGCGTCCCATCTGTTCTCCGGCTCCCCCACCGTGACAATCTTGGAGTCCCACAGGGCCCTGAGCGTCGACTTCCATCTGACCCCGCCCTTCATCCAATGTTTCAATGCCGACGGGTGTGCGTAAACCGTCGCCAGGCCGAGAGGGAAACCCGCCGCTTTCTCGCACAGCCAATTTCTCAGTGGGTCCTGCTCCGCTACTGCATTTCCAAGGTTTTGAATAACCATGCTATTGATCCTATGCTTTGGGTCAATAACACCAAACCCTCCCTCTTTCCGCTCTCTGCAGGACAGCTCGTAGCTCCACAAGAAGAAGTGTCTGTCGAACAATGACTTGCCGTCTATGATGAAGCTGTGGATCAGACGGTGCACCTTTTTCCATATGTCGTGCGGTGGAGCGTAAATCTGCACTTGGAAAAGTAGAATCGGCATCACGTAACAGTTTATGATGGTGACTCTCACCGAAGTCTTCAGGTTTTTCTATGCCTAGCAGCTCAACACCGCGCTCACCTTCTCGAAAGCTTTATCCCATGCCGGCACCGGCGACCCCCCAGACGTGATCCACACACCAAGCAGCCGCTCTGGTACGTCTTTCGTCGCCCAATTGAAAGGTGAGTCGTCCGGCTGCACTCGTCTCCTGTTAATCCCCAGCGGCATCAGTATCGTTTTCTCCCAGTTTATGTTTAACCCCGAGATCGCAGCAAAGTCGTCGAGCAGGGACTTCGCCTTCACCACCTGCTCCTTTCCTTGCAGCACTAGTGTACTATTGTCAGCGTAGCCGACATATGCCAACTCCCCAGCCACTCCCCTTTTTCTTACTCCAAGCCCTCTCCTCTCCACCTCCTGGCAGAGTGGCTCGATAATGCAGAGAAACAGGTATGGTGCGAGTGGGCACCTCTGCCGCACTCCCTTGAGCATCTCCACTCGATCCCCCAACCAGCCGTTGAGCAGGAGTCTCATGGCAGCACCATCATGTAGACCCTTCACCCACTTTATAAACTTGTCCGGGAAACCCATGCCCCTCAGTGTCTTGAACAGGTACTCCCGGGACACTGAATCGTACGCCTTTTGAAAGTCCACGAGAAGAAGCAGCCAGTCCTCATCACCTTCCGCCGCTGCGTCAATCACGTCTGCTACCAGTGATACTGCTTCCTTCAAGCTTCTGCAGGGGAGGAAGCCAAACTGGTTCGGGGAGATCACCCGCGGTAAGGCCACTTTAATCCAATTTGCCAGCACCTTCGTGAGCAGCTTGTAGAAGAAACTCAGCAGAGTAATCGGTCGGTAGTTGCTTGATGACTCCTTGTCACCCTTCTTGTGCAGGAGGATTGTGACTGCAGTAGTGAAAGCTTCCGAGAGTTCCGCCGACAGCTCAAACGCCCGTATCTCCTTCAGCACCGCCGACCCTAGCAGGTCCCAGTTTCGCTCAAAAAACTCCTTCGACAGCCCATCCTGCCCGGGAGCCTTTCCTGAGGGGAGCCCTTTGAGCGCCACCTTTACCTCCTGCTCCGTCCAACTCCGACTAAGCTGAGCCCTGTCAAAGTCCCGTACAGTGCACCCCTCCTCTATCAGCCATGGTTCGGTAAGGCTCTGCTGGAGAGGGGCCTCATACGCTTCCTTGAAATATATTGATGCAGCCTTCAGCACCTCTCTCGCGCCTTTATACTGCCGTCCTTTGAAACACAGCTCACTTAGTTCCGTCTTTGCCTTCCTTCATCTGACCAGGCCTAACAGGAAAGGTGAAGGCGTCTCACCCGCTAACTCCATCAACACACCCGACATGACCTGTAGCCGCTCCCTGTTGCTGTCATGATAGAGCTTCAGCGCTACCTCGTTTTTCACCAGCTCCTCATATACATCTTGCGCCGACGGATCAGCCATTACCCTCCAGTGTAAGTTCTCCACTTTCCTCTCCAAGTGAACAATCGTCGCCCTTACCTACTTTCTCTCCTCCGCCACATGTGCCCTCATGCCTGCACGCAGATTCGCTAGCAGCCGCTCTAGGCTCTGGTCAGCTCGACCCTCTTGCCCATCCAAGACCGCCGAGATTATATTCCTGGTTCCGTCACCGCTGGCCTGGGGGGCTTGCAATCTCCACAGGCCCGAGCCACTCCCTTCCGACAAAGCCGACTTGAGTGACATCGCCACAGCAAACCAGTGATCTGTCAATCCGTATGGGACCATGGTATGCTTCGCTTCCACAACACACCTGAGAAGAGAGTGTGACACTAGGATCCTGTCTATCTTTGTGCTTGTGTGCGCAGATTTCGAGAAAAAAGTGTACTCCTTATGGCACGGATGAAGAACTCCTACCAGCCGGCACACGCTTGACGTCCTGTAGCGCTCCATTGAAGCCGGCACATGCTTGACGTCGCCGCTTGGCTCCAAGTCGACGAAGGCCTCCTTTGTCCCCATCAGGTGGTGCGAGCAGCTGCTATTGCGCAGGACCACTGCCTGGTCTGCTCGCATAGCTTCCGCCACCTCGTGGAAGTCCTCGCCGGCCTCCGGCGCCAGCGAGACGGTTGGCTCTAAGATGCTGACCAGCGAGCACGACGCTTGTCATCTGTGGAGGAGTCGGCGTCCTTCGCCGAGGTCGAATTGTTCGCCTGCTTCTCCTTGCGCGGCGTGCTTTTCCGATGTGGACGACGGCTGGCCGACCTCCTGCGACCTCCTTTAGTGTCATCGTCGAAGTCACTGCGGTTGGCACACTTGAAGGAGAGGTGGTTGGGGTCGCCGCACAGCCAGCTTTCCCAGCGTCGCCCTCCTCCTCCATGACTATTGTCCTTCCCCAGCTTCCCCTTCTCGGCGTTCTTGGCCGGCTTCCCGCCTCCGCTACCACTGCCGCCAGGCTTGCCGCGCTGCCCCGGTTGGCCACCTTGCTTCGTCGGGGCGACGTAGTTTACCTGCGGCAGAAGGTCTGTGGACTTCTTGGCCTCCTACATTGCCTCGTCCTTGAGGATGTACGAGGTCAGCTGGTCCTCGTTGAGCGACTCCCACGTGCCCAAAACCACCATTACCTGCTTCATCAAGTTGTAGCCGCTCGGGAGGCCCTTGATGATGTGTCTGATGTACAACGGCGTCGAGTACTTAACGCCGGCCATCTGTTGGTGTAAGGGCCTAATAAACTCAAGCTATTAAGACTTATCAAACTTAAAACCTCTCCTCGGAGTCACCTCCAAGGGTCCTTGGGTGCCTGGTACAAGACCAGCCCCTATCCTCGGGTCCGAGTTTGTAGAGAGAGGGATCAAGAGGGACTTAGTCAAAACAGCAAGAGTACCTTGAACGTCGCGCAGCGTATCATGCAGACCGTCGACCGAATTAAGCTGAGAATTTCCTATATCGAAGCTCGCTCCAAGAGCTTTAAAATGAACCAAGTTGCCTCGGGAAAAGTTCTGCCATTACGAAGTTATGGCTCGGACAGCGTTTGCCTAGCGTTGGAGTGCAAGCGTACTTGTTGGATGCACGTCATTCTGAGTGCATGTCATCCTAACGTCCTGCCGTGTGCTCGTGCTATTTGTGCTTGCATGATTTGCATGAGCGTATGTCATTGTGCATGGCTGTTGGATATTATAATCTCTGTGTTTTTCTCCAAGTCTAAATGCTTGATCATGCAGGAGAAATCCAGAGCTTTCCAACGACACCAAGATCGCCTTATTCCGACCAAGATCGCCCAAGTTACAAGATTTCCAAGATTTGGATTTCTTATTACCTTTTGGGGTTATATCTAATTTGGGTGATTACTTGGGACATGAATACAAAGGGATCTTTGTTTGGGTGGTTAGGAAGGCAACTTTGACTTTTGGATTGGGGTGGCTAGAAGTTTCTAGCATGGGTTGCAAATGTTGCAACACCTAGGCAAAATCCAACTAGATTGGATTTTGCATGTGACACCTCAAGGACCTCATGATGAGGGTTGCATCCTTGCTGCTGGGAAGGTTCCTACCATCCTTCCCTAGCTCTTGGAGAACCCCTTCTCTCTCATGGTTCTCTTGGAGTCCCCAACTCCAACTTTCTATGCCCTAATGTTTGTACTTCCTCCACCATTCTAGTTATGCGGCTGCTGGACGTTTTCATATGGTTCTCACTCTATAGAACATCTTAACGACTGATTCAACTTGGAGATGGTAGATACGCCTAAGGCGCAACTTCCTAACGAGCGGATTTGTGTTTAGATGAGTAATGATTTCGTCGTGAGCTCTCAAAGTGACGGATCCTGAACAACAGTACTAGCGTTGACTCGGGTAGCATTCCGGCGTCGCACCGCGTAGAAACGAAATTCCAGGAAGGAAGGAATTCGCTTGAATCAATTTCACTATATCCATGTACAAACAGAGAAGGAATAAATAGTTCTAGCTAGCAAGGACCTTGGGAATAAAACTGGGAACAACCAGGGATGATCCCAAATAATTCCAAGCAACAGAACCAACCTGGCTGGACAAAACAGCAGGTTGTAGGTTGGTAAACAACCTCTGGTTCTGTTTTTCCAACCTGGGAAAACAACAACCAGGTTCAGGTCCTAAAAACAGAACCTGTTTTGTCTTTGCCCAACCAGCCAAATGCTGGTTCCGCTGGTTTCCCCTGGCCCTGTAGCAAGCAGATACAGACAAACAACATCCAACCTTCACCTAAATTGTACCCCTATAGTGCCTGCCCTGCTACACTATACTCAACCAAACAAAACAGTACAATTTCGAGTTGGATAGAACTGAATCTGCGCAATCAATTCAACCGAACCGCAAAGCTTCCATCTTGGGTTCCTTTGCAAGCTCGTCCTTTCTGCTTGTACTGTTCATAGCGCGCACAATGTTGTGCCGAAGCGCACAATGCGCGAGTACCTTCAAATGCTTCAATCAAAATTCGCGAAAGAAAACAAACACACGAACATTCCATTCACACCCAAATGCATTCGCACACACATACTCGTACGAACAGACGGCAGGATGTCGTGCAATGTGAATTTGCACCCAACACACTCCCCCTCAGCCTGCGGGCTGCATTCCCATCATTCCATGCTAGTTCATGCTCATTCCACTCATGCGCACACAACGCCAATGAGGCTCATCCGCAAGCCTCTTTGTGAGGAAGTCTGTTGGCTGCTGGTGAGTCTTAATGTAGATCGGATTCACCGTCCCCCTCTTCACCTCCTTACGCAGCCAGTGCCACTTGATACGCATGTGCTTGTTCAGCCCATGAAGCACAGCGTTTCTGGCCATCCCAAGAGCTCCCTTGCTATCACAGAACAGCGGCATAAACCTTTTGCTCCTGGCCAATCTCCTCTAACAGCCTCCTCAGCCAAATCACCTCCTTCACCCCATGGAACATCGCCATGTACTCTGATTCCACGGAAGAGAGTGCTGTCTCCGTCTGCTTCTTTGACCTCCAACTAACAGGTCCTCCCCCAACTACGCAAATGTATCCTCCCACAAATGAGGAATCCTCCTTCTCAGAGGCCCACGTAGCATCAGTAAAGCAAGTGAGAAAGAGCTTGCCTTCTCCAAGCCTCTCCCCCTTCTCTTTCAGCACCTCAACCCCTTTCTGCTTCACCTGTGCAGATGCAGAGTATTGAACTCCAATGCTTGGGTGAGAGTTCAGATACTTCACCACACGCTCAGCTGCATCCACGTGCTCCTGTGATGGATTCTGCACCACCCTAGCCAGCTGCCCAACCGAGAAAGAGATGTCGGGCCTTGTGTGAACTGCTGCAAACAAGAGGCTGCCCACCAATGACTGAAATTGCTGCTGCTCCTCGGCTTCAACCCCTTCATCCTCTGCAGCTTTCACAAGCTTGAATTCTGCTGGCAGGGGAGTTGCAACTTTGCACTCATTCTCAATCCCGTACTTCTCCCCCAGCTCCTTGATGAACTTCTCCTGGTGCAGCTTCAACCACCTGTGATCTAGATCCGTCTCCACGTGCATCCCAAGGTAGTACTTTACCTCCCCAAGGTTCTTGCACTTGAAGTTCTCCATCAGTTGCTACTGCACATTCGGGATCTCCTTCATGCTGCTGCTAAAGAGAAGAATGTCGTCCACATAGATCAGAAACAGCACTAGCTTCTCCCCCTCCCCCTTGAGAAAGAGGCTCTCATCACAGCTGCTGGTCCTGAATCCCATCTCCTCTAAAACAGCTGCCAACTACTGGTACTAGCAGCGTGGCGCCTGCTTCAAGCCGTAGATGGACTTTTTCAGCTTGCACACCATGCCCGTACCATCCTCATACCCACGTGGCTGCGTCATGTACACATCCTCCTCTAAAATCCCATTCAGGAATGCCGTTGATATATCCATCTGAATGATGAATTTCCCACTAACGGCTGAATCTGCCAACAAGATACAGAGGGTAGGGGGTTTGGCAGTGGGAGCAAAGATCTCATTGAAGTCCTTCTTCTCCTTCTGCATAAACCCCTTAGCCACCAGCCTACTCTTGTAGATGGTGACCTGTCCCTTGTCATCGGTCTTGATCCTTAGCACCCACTTGCACTGCACAGCCTTCTTCCCCTCAGGCAGCACCACCAACCCCCATGTCCCATTCTCTAGCAGGCTCTAGTACTCAGCATCCTTGGAAACCAGCCACTTCTCCTTATCCGGTCCAGCTAATGCCTCCTCCATGATAGCTGGTTCCTCTGGTGCAGGGGCAAGAATGTTATAGTCACAGTAGGCTCCAATGTGCCTAAAACGAAAGATAGAGTGCACAGCCGGATTTCTGCACAGCGGCTTCAAACGTTTTTAGCGTTCTAGTCACAACTTCAAATGACCTGATTCAACTTGGATCTCGAGCGTCTGAACGTCGCCTACAATAGGCAATTTAGATCGCACAATTTGACCAAGTATTGACGACACAGCGTTGGTTTGAACGAACAGCACTATGGCAGCCACTATAGTCT